TTTATAATGCTCCCTAAATAATAAAAAAATAAATTAGAGTGAAAGCAATGAAGATTTTGTAGGTTTTGAGCTCTTCGATGTCTAGCACGATATATACTAATTTTAAAGTACAAATTGAATTTTTGTTCAATAAAAATATTTCAAATGCGACTGTAGCTTTTTTTCCCCAAAACTTTGTCTTCAAAATAAGGGTGCGTCTTATATTCCGAAAAATATGGTAATTACATCAACAGCATGGACTACTAGACAAGCAGTAAGATCTTATTTGCTGATAGTACTCTGCTTGGTAAGCTCAATTCTCTGGAAAATGTTCTTTAATGCACAAGGACTTTGATAGTTTTGTTGAGTGAGTTAATCTGTATAAAATGAGTTTCAACATTCATAAAGGTAAAGTTATGCATTTAAGATAAGGAAATTTGGAATAATCTTAGATTTTGTACGGGAGAGATATTAATACTATGGAGAGTGAGAAAGATTTGTGTATGATGACTTATAAAAAAAAAAAGTGATGAAAAGAGCAAACAGGATTTTGAGATTTATTCACAAATATTCTAAGCTAAATAGTAGGAATGTTATCAACACATTGTAAAAAATTTTGATCAGACTACAATTGAAGTATTTTGTTGTTTTGGTCCCTTTTTCAAATGAAAAAAAAATTGATTTGCTTGAAAATGTTCGAAGATGTGCTACTAAAATATTCTTGGCTTGAAGCATTTAAGATATAAAGAGAGACTAGAATACTTGAAAATATTTTCTCTGAAGCATGTAAAATTAGAGGTGACTAGATTTAGGTGTTTCAAATTGTTAAGAGCATGGATAAACTGCCCTTTGGAGGTTTGTTCAAATGGTGGGTTGAAAAGGTTGCTAAAAACCATCCTGAATATCCGAGGAAATAGATATAAGCTATGGAAGTCTAGCTCCATGATGGTTATTAGTAAACATCTCTTATCTGCTAGAGTTACAAACTTGTGAAATGACTTGCAATATGATGTAATGTATACTGGTAGACTGAATTCCTTTTTTAAGTTTTTGTTTGATAACTTATAGGGGTTATACTTAGGTTCAGTTGGTTTCTTTGTTGAGAACCTCAATGGACTGAACAACCTCCTGTCTCCTAACCTTGTCTTGTGCTCTTAAATACTCAACCAACTCTGATATGAATTACACAGAAAATGTGTTTACTTTCCAAGGATCTAGCTTCCCATTTTCTTTCTCTAATTCTGTTTTCATCCTCTGTTGGTTTTCAGGTGTAAATTCACCTTCTGCAAGACGTTCCTGCCAATCCTGACATGCTCTAGCAAAAAATTCATTGCTAAAAGTTGAAGTACAAAGCCTTGTGGAGTAGTCTGAATCAATTACCAAGTCCACAGAAGGAAGTAGCTGAGTCAGATGATACTGGTAAAGTGGGGGTAAGCTTCCAAATGTATTGTTGTTAATTAATGCTTTCAAGTTCATATTCACTAGTATGGAGTCCGGTGTCTCCATATCTATACATCTTTTCTTTGTTTGAGCAATTTGGGAAGCTGGAAGGAAACACGAAAAACTTTATAAAGCTCAAAAATATAATGATAAATGTTAAATAGCCATTGATTACTTCATCCATTAGCTTAAAAGTATAAAGAATACTTATTTGCCACATTTACTCAGAATCATTCGTAGCTACACATTTTCCATTACCATTTCTGTGGCTTATGCCATCCACTGATAATAAAAATATATATTATAAGCAAAAACAAAACTTACACCTGTTGTACTTGTTACAGCCACAGTTTGATGCTGGCAATTTTATTACTAATACCAAAATAACTTTGATCAAACTCAAAAATATATATATTGCTTCCCAAATTATATAAGTCAAATTATTCTTATGTTAGTGTTTATTTTAAAATAAATAATAGTAATCTTGTGAAGACTTGACATATTAGTATACAAAATGATAGGCATGAAAATTACATAAGATGAGAAAACAGAATTCATGTGTTTACTACTGGTTTAACCCATTGACTACTGATTCACTGTATAGGTCATATGGTCTGCCTTCAGCAGTTGAGCGCAAGTGTACCATATATGGTGTACAGCTTGCAATAATTCTGCGTGTGTTTAGAGCATTTGCAGTAAATGGATTAATACAATAACTTACCTTCTTCCAACAAGACACTAGTATCAATTTACTTTTATATTTCTGGTATGCACACCTAGCCACATCTCATGATACTAAATAATGTTTGAGCATTAGACTACTAAGTGATCAATCAAGAATGTTTTTAACTTTATTTTCAACTTTTATATCAAGTGACTACATATACAACAATAAATTCTATACCACAACCCCAAGAGATATAATCATTACACATAGTTTTTAAAGGAGAAAACAAACATATTTTAACCTACCATCCTAAATTTTAAGTCATTTTTTCTCTTTTACTAATAATTATCCAATGAATATGATTTTGTTTTTTTTAAATATTAGATAAAAAGGTTCCTTTAAGTTAAATATTTATTCCACATCAGCATTTTCTAAACAATGTAATAAAAGGAGGACAAACAAAACACAATCAAATTTATAAACCTAATACATGAATAGTTTAAATAACTAAAACTGTAATAGCAGTTACTTTCAATTTATATCTTATTATGGCCATTAAGTTGAGAGTATAAAGCATGACTGGCTAAGTGCAACACTATGTACATTGTAAAATTAATAACATTTTTAATAATCAGGAATTATTAAAATAAACAATTGAAAGACAGAGCATTACAAGTTTTGTAATACTACAAATAAGAAACATCACTAATTAATTCCAATTACGTAAAATAACAGCACTGAAGTAAGTTCATTTCCTACTTCCTAGTTGCTTTTTATATTGTACACTTCTCAAGAGCACTTCAAGCTGCCCACGAATTTTTAAATATATCAATACATGTGTTTGTAAATGTAAACCTACATAATAGAACAACATTCTATACAATTTCCATAAATTGTTAAGTTTAATTTAGCAAACTTATCTATTTAAACTGAATAATACCATAAACTCTTAAGATTTTTGATTTTCATTAAATTTAAAACTTCTAAGTAAAATCTCATCAAAGCTTACCTGTATTCATCTTCTTTTCAAAGGTTTTCTTAGCTACTGAGTAAAAATATTAGCTTTGAATTAATTTACATGTCTTTAGAGTATTCATTTATATTAAAAATTAATAGCATGTCTTGTTACATAATACACAAATAAATTTATAAAAATTTCTATGGAACAAACAGCAGTACTGTATTCAACATGCATCTTTTCTCATGCAGTACAGCATTAAATAGAAGTTTCAAAGCCAAAAATGCATATACACCAGAAAAATTGGAATTCATATATTGTATAAAAAATTTCAACTGAATGGCCGAAGTATCCATCTGATTGCACTAAGAATGGAATAGCTAAGAAATGACTAAATCCTAGCTAATTCTCAGAACTTCCCATAAAATATTTGTTGAGCTTGTAAAAAACAACTCTTATGTCATAATAACATAAAGTAAATAATCTATACATTTTCAAACTTCTTGTTAAACTTAAACACAATAAATAAACAAAGAATCACACTTAAACTCTTTTATTTACATCCTAAAAATCATAGCAGCCAATTTACGAATAGCAGAATAAACAATGTTAATAATACTACTGACAGCCGCAGACCTAAAATTAGTTGAACAGTTACAGATGTCAACAAAAGTTCATAACTATATCATATATATTCTCCTTAAATAAAACAAATTGCAAAAAACAACAAAAAACAGATGGCTGAAAGGGTAAACATTAAATATATACATTCACATATATGGCTTACACTGTACACAATATTGAATATATCAAACATGGCAATGATAATAATTACAAGGTTTCTAGTTTAAAATTTAATTAAGCTGTCTATTAGATCTTTCTCAAAATATTATATTATATATAGCAAATATACCCTTCATTCACTATTTGAGAAGTTAGCTGATCTTCAATAGAAGTAAATTAGCATCTGAAAGTTAAATTACCATCTTTGTAAAACAATGGTCAAAGAGCCTTTGAAAATACTCTATTTTATCACATTTGTATCTTTAGCTTTGGTAATCTGTAATGGTATTATAAAAGTTTTTTTTTAATTACTTTACATACGAATATACTTAGGAGTTGCAAGAAACTTTACCATGTATAGTGACCAAAACTAATGAAAACAAATTTAAACAGCATTAATAATAACACTTCTATTTTCATAAAATAAAAAGCAATTAATTTATATATGTTTTCAAAACAAAAAAACTACTACAACAGATGTTAAAGCTAATGAAAAACTGAGTGAAATTGGAAATCGAGGAAGCACAGCATCACATGCCTTAGCAAGTTTCTGAAGCTGGACTGGCAGAAGGGGAGATGCATATGCCTCCTTCAAGTGATGTCTTCATCGAATAACTTTTTTTATGCTTTATCCTGCTATCTAGTGCATTTAAGAACACGAGGAGTACATAATTCAATTTTCATAGTTCACCATTCATCTTTAGTGTATTCCAAAAAATTGTCCCACAAAATGTTTGTGGTATATGAAATTGCAACTACAATCATAATCATGAAACACAGAAGATATGATAATACAGCTGAATAATTGAATCACAACAATAAAGAATTCATAAGAAATTTATTAACAGTTCAATGTTTATTCTCCACTCCAATAATAATAAAAAATAACTCTTAAGATGCACCTGCAATCTACCTAAGAGTCATTTTGACAAAAGTGGATCTCAAAATATTATTTGAGTTGAATAGAATCACACAAGGGAATTTTGTAGTGAAAACTGTGGATAAAATGCCAAGTTTTAGTTCTAATTTTAAAATCAGTAAGATAAGACTCTCACTACAAAAGATGAATACTACATCAGTGAATGAGTCTTGGTATGTCTGTTACAATTAGCTCTACACCAGGGCCATAGGAAGTGGTAAGACAAGTCAGGTCATGGCCTGACCACTTTTTCATGGCATGTATAGCTACAATTTGCATATTAAAACTTGCTTCTTTTAATTCAATACATTATTTGTATACAGTATTTGTAGTTTAAATAGCTCAAGATTCAATCTCATAGTATTAAATTTTAAAACATTTTCTGGAAATCATGCCTCCAGACACCCCTAGAAATGGCAATGACCTGATCACTCCAAAATTGCTTCCTACAGCAATGTACACTAAATATATCACTATAAGTATAATCACTGCAATATCAACATTTAACGTTAAATTTTCATAAAATTATACTTGCAAGAGATAAAATAAAACTCTGAAAGATATACTTTGCTATGCCATTTTAATTTTTATGAATATACTAACTTACCAAACAATCTTAAAACAATATGAAGTCTTAAGATTGGTATATATTTTTAAAATCTTTGCTTTGGACATAAGTTCAGACTTTAATATTTTAGCCAGAAGCCTTTTAAGTTTTAAACTTGTATTATGAAAAATTCTTGATTTCTTCGCTTCTAGTTCTACTTCTAAGTTCTACTCCAGTTCTACTAAACTGTCTAACGTCCAACATAGCAATGTTCATGTTTTCACTTTGTTTCAAAATTTAATACCCGTTTAAAAGAAAAACTTATAGCGATTTTTGTTGGTTGCATAACTTCAAAGACAATACATGTCATTTTGAACACAAAAATTTACACGTTTCTTTTTACAAAAACAGAACAAAGCGCCATTAGAATGATTGAAAATGATACGCTGCTAAATCGAAATTTTAACAGCGCTAGGTGGTGTCGGATATGTCAAATAAATATTTAGGCATAAAATAAAAATTTTCATCAAACTCAACATGTTTTATACCATTACTCTCAAATTTTCCGCTAAGAAAAATTTAAAGCTCGTTTACCTACATCAAAACGTAAAGTGTGAGATAGCGAATTCTATTTTTAGTTTGTTATGGTTTTATTTACCATTCATTTATTATTCCTTCTATCGTTTAGTTCAACTATGAATTCTTAGTTCTATTAAAGCGTTAACTCACCTGCTGTTAAAACATGTTGAATTTGTATGTTTATTTGTATTATGAAACTGACTCAACCTTTCCCTAGCGGTGACGTACAGATATTAATGTTGTGAGAGTATTTAAATTAGCTAGTCACGTAAGATCTAACCTCGTGCTCTTACTTCTAAATAAAAACTCTGCCTTGAGATAAAATGAGTTAGTTTACGAGATGTAGTTAAAACGAGTTATTTTTAATTGTTATTCCATATTGCTATTGATATTAAAGTGTTTATTTTTGGAATATTATTTTTTCGGAATTAAATTAGTTTTTTTCTACTAGTTCTTTTTCCTAATATATATTGTAAGTGCTAAAATTTGTATTTCAACTGTTTTAAATTTTTGTTTTGGATTTCTGTGGTTGTTAAAGTTTATTTTTGTTGTTGTTGTTGTTATTCGACCTTAATGACCGTGACTGTAGCGGAGTTTTGTTTTAGTCCTTACAATGGTACTTGAAATTAATTGTATTACCTAATTTAAAACTACTAAAGGGGCAACTTGTGATTATTGTAATTTAGCAAGTTTTCGCTTCCAAGTTCCAACTGAAAATCACGGCTTGGTTCGATTGTTTGTTTATTTTTAGTTAGCCATAAAGCTATACATTGGGCTATTTGTGATGTGCCCACCACTGGTATCGAAACCTGATTTTTAGCGTCATAAGTCATTAGACTTGCTACTATGGAGCGGGCATTAAATTTATGAGGAAATAATAAAAATCTGAAAAAGTTTGATTAATTGCTTCAGTTTGACTTTAAAACATTGTTGTAAACTATATTCTAAATGTTTTGCTTTTGAGAACCCATGCGCTTAAGATTGAGGAGGTTCATGGAATATGTAAAATAAGGGTATCGTATATATATGAGTAATGGGTGAACGAGAAGTCAATGAAATAAGTATTCAGTGAGCTATAAATGTGTAATTCAGTTCAGTGTTTGTAATATGTGTTATCGCATCTATTCAGTTACTCAGTCAAATATCTGAGGAATTTGGGGTATGTATCATTATTCTAGAACCTTATGTTGAAAAGTTATTTATAAAATTAGGCCTACAAGTACAGATGAATGTAGCTGTATCAAACGTTTATTGAAGAAAAAATAATTCATTGTTACTTGGCATAAATTTTAACGAATAATCCAAAAGAATCTGCCTAATGATAGAACTACGACG